AAAAAGAAAGTACGCCAGTGGCATTTAATAACTGTTTTGTATGGAATGGTCCAAACCTTGGTTATGTTACGATCTAATCACAATCGTTTACAAACCATCATTAGTTAATAGTCCAATGACAAATACATCTGTTTCAAATCACCTTAACAAAAAACATGGAGGTTTTCCATTGTTTAGTAAAAGATACGAAAGTGTGCATAGAAGGGTAGTGGAATAATCTCAAATAAGCATTTCAATTGATTTAAAGCTCAGCTGCGCAATTCATTTCAATTGTGAAGTGAAATCATTGAATCGTCCTTAGATGAAGATTTAGTACGTAAAACTGTATCTAGTATTCTGTTTTACATTACAACTGTGGATGTTTGCGTGGAGTGCACCTAAATAAATTTAAGAGGTAACTGTTTGGTTTTAAACACAGCAGAGTTAACAACTATGTAAATTTTTAAGTTGATTACTGTAAAAGCGGTCGTTTGTAGTTGAGCTGTTTCATGCTTCAAAACATTTACATATTAACACGTTTTTGATTGTTTTTACGACTTGAAGTATAAGCCCAAATATATATTCAGTTTTGTGTAGTATTAAAACGCTGTTACACTATTTTTTCATTGGTCAACGTAAACCTTTTTTTACTAATTCTAGTGATCCAAAGAAAGACCCATGTTTAAATTTCAATACATATTTGACTAAAAATAATCGTCGTTAAATAAATAATTGTTATAAATAATCAGAAGCTGGTTAACGTACGTCTCTGTATAGTTAGTGTGGAGTATGTTTTGTTGCTTACTAATTTGTTACTTCTTATCACTCTAAAACAATGCCTAGCTGAATGTATTATTCTATTTGTTGCTTGTCCTTTTTACTGGACTAAGGAATAAAAAATATTAAATTAATAATACTAAAGCAATAAGCAATACAGTTGGGATCATCGCACTGACACGTAAGCAACGTGTATGCTTTATATACATTAAACAAACTTAAGTTTTTTACGATATGGTTAATAAATCTATTTGTACTATCTTGGATTAAAGAGGAGACATACTCTATTAATTGTCTACTCTTTGATATATGGTTCTATTAAAAGTTGATATTTAACACACTTTACACTTAGCTAAGAAACTATGTTCCTAAAGAAACAATCCTTTTTCGTTTCAGTTTTTTTTTTTCTTTTTATTTCATCAGCTTTTGAAACACGGAGTACTTTATAATGAAGAGTTTAAAGTGGTTAATAAATACTTTGAAGATAAATGACAACAAACGAACACTTACGTAGCAATACATTTTTTTTGGCAATGGGGAGGGTGGAATAGTGAAATCTAAAAAAATATCTTTCGTGTTATATTTAACATGACTTTTACATTGGTTTCAAACAGGTGTAAACGAAATGAAGTCATGTGTGCTCGGTAAAGTCTTACGTTTACGTATTATGTGCTAACAGATTCAACATGAAGTTTTAATACATTATTACCAAGAATGTTCAAAAGCGGTTATTCTAAAAACATTTTTTTTTAGTGAAGGAGAAATGTTACAGTGGTTAGAGAAGTTGGGCGATGTGCGGTGAAAGGGTGTAACGGACCCCACGTAATGTTAAAACGGGACAAACCACAAATGTATGGTACAAAGTTAGCTGTAACTACTGTACATGTTACAGACCGTTAGGTACACCACTTCCACATGTTAATGTGTATAAATGTAACTCCACAACTGGTGGGTACTTTGGTATTAAAACCAACCACGACCAAATATGGGACGCCGTATAACTTTTAACGGATAAAAACACTATTTGAATCACTGGATGCAAGGGGGGTTAATTTATGTTTCATTTTCTCATAAAATGTTTCAAAACCTTTGAAAAACCTACATTTTATGAACTCAGTACTGAAAATTAATTAGGTTTGTATTGGGAATAAAAAGAGAGTTGTATTCAGGGCATATGAGAAATTTTATACTCTTGTTAAATATATATATTTTTTTATATATGTATGAATATATGAATTTTATCTCAAATAATTTGAAGTTATGGTATTTTTGGCCCCCGGGGACATCAAAACGAAAAAGTAAAGCTGTCCCTGGTTCAGGTTTCACCACGAGATCTTCAGTAATATTTTATTCTCTACATGAGAAGTTCGCTAAAAACATACAAAAAAGAGGATAAAGTTTAATGTAAGAGTGCATCAACTTCAGTTCGCTAGGCCTCTCGGGAAATTAGCCAAAGACAACATCCCAATGCTTTATTTCCTTTTACTTCATAGCTAGTTTTCTATCGCTTACACATATTTTATCCACACTAAGAGTATGAATTTGTGACAAACATTGTAATGTAAATACTGCTAAATGATTTTAAATGGATCACAGATTAATTAAATTTTATGTCCAAAAGGGTGGATTGAATAACTTCCATTTTACTTGGACCGTCGAACAACCGGTGAACCAAAGAAAAGTATTGACCCGAATTTGGTCTTGATTTATGTAGAATCCCCACGAGAACGCTGCAGACAAGGCCAGCTTCGAGGTTAATCATATATCACAATCAAGTTTCGAGTTGGTACTAGTATTAATTCGGAACGTCAAGCTGGTCTTGTCAAACACGTTTAAAATGATGTCTTCGCGCTAAAACGATTGAATTCGCTTCCAGATTCGTCATCCTGATCAGCTAAATGTGATTATAAGGATATATCCGTCTTCAACCAGTAGAGTGTATTTTAATGTTTACAATATACTGTTATTCTGCCAACTTAACTTTTTGTTAGCAATTAAAATTTTTTAAGGTTGATGGCCTGTTTTATTGATGGCCCAAAGATCACTTATGGCTAGATATGATCACCTTGTGTTTACACTTAATACGTGTCGGTAGTGCACTAACTGTATAAGATAACTAGCCAGAATTTATCAGTGGTCATAAACTCATTTTCATGACAGTTTGATCAGGTTCGGTTAGGATATGTTTATTTTTTTATTTTATAGATGTTTTTTTGAAGAAATACTATATACTGTTTTGGAATGAGAAATTGATCCTGGTGGAGATAAAACCTTGCATACACCTTTTAAAGCGTTTATTACGGTGTGTGCAGTAAATGAGAAATATAGGTAATATTATCGTGAAAATTCTAAAAGCTTATCGTGAATTACCCTAGCTAACAACCTCGCTGTTTTGTAGGAACAACAGGTTAAAGTAGCCTCTTAATGACTCGGACTACTACCACTAAGCAAAAAGCCATAAGTTATTAAAAACGAATCAAAAAGTTGCACAATAATGTGGTATTTCGCAGGAGTTAGACCCAACCCATTCTAATTAGTTAATATTTTTTTTTAATCACTAGCAATCAAAAATATTTCTAGTTTGGTAAAGGAAACATTCTTAAACTAATTCCCAAATGTCAACGTATAAAACACAGTTTTGATAGGTCAAAGATATAACGGTTTAATAAAGGAGACCACCACGGCGATGTGACCCTAGACAGTGAAAAATTGGTGTCAATTAATTGTATTTGTTCTGATCGTTTGTCATCTAAGATCCCAAACTAGACACACAGTGTACAGTTGACATTTTGGACTTACTTACATCTATACGTATCACAATATTGATTTACTTTAGATACCACAATTATGTTATTCATTATTGTCTCAGTATTTTTTCCATTTTAATTGTGTTATTCTGGCAATTTTTACTTCTCGTTAGTGCAAGATATTTGTGTTTGTGTAGTATTTTTACAAAGGATAATCTACAATGATATAAGAGTGAGAATTACAGTGAAGGATAATCTATTCTATGTTTAAGGTGTACTAATTTTCTAATTAAAAGTTAACTTAGTTTTATTCACGCCGATAGAACAATTAGCCTATGTTGATGTAAACTTAAATCTTCCCTTCAGCCGATCCACACAATTGGGATGGGATATTTATCTCGGTATCATAACAAGTAGCAATGAAAACTGCGCGTTGATTATTTAACGATTTTCTTCGGTATAGATAATTTCTTAATATTAACATTATAACACGATTGATGGATTTTAACTAGAGTCTCTCTTATTAAATAACTATTTCCGACCTTCCCTAAAATACAGGAAACAACTGGATGCTAACAAAGGTACATTATTTGTAAAACACTAAAGGATTTTATGGTAAAATGTATACAATGATACAATGATTACTGTTATTTCTTGTTCACAAACATCAGTGTTTCAGATGAGCCGTCTCAACCCTAACAATTTGTGAGTAATATAGTTAACTATTGCCGTTTACTTGCTTAACTATTTGGGTTAGCTTTGCGTTGGCGAACCCTAAAGATGCAGAGCTAACTTGGATTACAGAGCTTGATATAACTTAATAAATACAGGATCGATGTTTTTGCAAATCGCTTATCTGCATTGTTGCCAAATAAAAAATAATTTACAATTGTTATGTTACTGTGAATATTATCAATTATACACGTGTAACTAGTTGTTATTGCAACAATAAATACCCGTTATTTTATTTTTGCGCAGTTTTCTCGCGGAGGTTCAAATGACAGATGCCGAGAATCGAATTGCGCAATAGTTTTAATATTTTTACTACAAGTTTTACTGCTACATTCCTTTCAGAGACGTAACTAAATCGCATTACCAGCAGCTGCAACATCGTTTATGATATAACTGTTTGTGTAATTGCCTTATGTCACTAGACTGCATCATTTATAACTTGTTTCGCAATCAAAACACAAACAACCATAGAGGTGTTTTGATATGGTGTTGTCGAATAATTCAAACGAAAGATAGTTGGAGCAGCCTTTCGCTGGAAATTTATCGTTTCTATAATCGACATCTGTTATTTCACTACCAATCCTATTTCCATTAAAAATATGTTTCTGTGTAAGCTTGTTTATAACATCGATGCATCCATGAAATGAACAAAATAGTATATGGAATCACCAGGCCCTGGTGACGAAATATAATATTTATTTCTATCGCCTAATTTAAAGTCTATCATAGTAAATTTTTGTTCGAATTTGAATGTATACTACTCACATGAATCAAGACCGTTCCAAGGAGAAATATTTAGTTCTGCAACAAAAACAATAGTTATGCTTCATGTTTTTACATGATGTCTTAATTTGAGTAATAACTTATCATGATGAATGTAAGTTTTTAGAATGCACCATTTTTGAACAAAAAAAAGTTGTTTGCAAAATGGAAACTAATCTATAAACAGACGAATGCATTTCTGTGGAGTTATCTTACAAACCAGTTCTTCTCGTCTATGAACCCCATACTAAAGAGTCGTTGGAGGCTGAATTAAGGAAAAAATTTGCTTATTTTTACCGGCCATCTTGGATAGTTTCAATCAGCTGCTGAAGAGTTAATTATCATCCACAAATATTTATTCTCACACTAAAGTAATAATGATTTAATTTAGGACACTGTGAGATTATATTTTCTTTATAATTTTGAATTGTTTTCTAAGTGAGTCCATGTAAGCCAACAGCCATCTTGGATTTGCTCACCATAAGAACAATGTTAATTTCATTAATTTCAAACAGCCGCCTTAGAGTTATTTACCATCTCAAAATATGATTTCAAATACCAAAGTGATTGTAATTAAAATATCTAGTGCACTGTGGGATTAGAAATTTTCTTTCTAGGTTTTAGCGAATTTCCCATATAGGGAATAAGCTATTACCGTAGGTCTCATGGTAAGACCTAGACCCGGGACCGATTTACTTTTTCGTTTTGAGGACCCCAGAGGCCAAAAACACCATCCGTTCAAATTCATATATATATATATATATATATTTATATATATATATATATATATATTTATATATGTGTCCGTTAGCGCGATAACTCGAGCAAAATTGATCCGATTTTGATGAAATTTGGTACAAACGTGTAAACCTACATTTATTCGAACGAGTTCGTGAACCAGCATAATCGGACCATGGGATCAGGGGTTTATGGGGGGTTTTATGGGGTAAAAATGGGGTTTTCTCGTTTTTGACCTTAAAAACTTAAAATTTCGAAATTTCTCTCTAGACCATTTTGAAGAGCTTAAAAAAACAAATAATTTAGTATATTGAAGTGTTTTTGAATGTTCATTGACTACGGAGAAAATTTAAAAAATTGTAAATTTAAAATTCCCATGTTATTCTTATGGAGAATAAATAAACTGTTCTAGCTTGCTTGTTTATGGATATATTTTAATCAAATTTGGCAATTTGGTTTATTTTATACTAAGCTATCAATATTTCAATTGAAAAAACACATCTCAACATCTTCCCCGTAGCAGCAAACCTAACTACTCACTAAAATTAATGTTATTTAAATAGGAAATAAATCTGAAAATTCATAGGGAATATTTTAGTAGAAATCAAGCCGGGTAAATGGAAATTCGCTTAGGATGCAGGTTTGCTGCGACGGGGGTATTTTAATTGTTTTATGAGTTAGAACGTCTAGGAATCAAAGAATTGTACTTTTTCCATGTTTAGTTTTCGTAGCAGAGAAGATAACTAGCTCCTTCTACAATAATACTATATATATATATATATATATATATATACACTATTTATAACTTCGAACAGACAGTTTAAGCTAGAGAGGTACAAATAGGACGACAATGTCAGAGTAGAATTAGGTCGAATCAGGAACACTTCTTCAAACGAGTGGATCTTTCAAGTTTGTTCAAAGTAGGTTTAATACGATCCAAGGCAAAGTTGGTTTTAAACGCCCAATTTAAAGGTCCGCGTATTAACTGCGTGAAGCGATAAATTATAATTAGAAAGAAACTCGGCGCCAAGGCTTTATAAGATGACCACACATTTTATCTGACATCCAGCAGCCCAGAGATAAATGTTGTCAAAAACGTTTTACCAAGGAAATGGCACGTGTTTAAAAGCTTATACCAGTGTACATTGTCATTGTCAACTGACCAGGATGATAGTGCTTCGGTTGAAATAAGTAAGACACATTTTACATTTCTGAATATTTGAAATAAATACTGCCCTGTACGAATTTGCCTGATATTTAATGCCGTGATGCAGAGGTTTCATTCCCATAATAATGATGTAACTTTGACTTTAGTTTAAGACACAATGGTTGTGGCTAGTTTTAGTAAAAAAATAGTTTATTTCAGTCTCTTGACAAATTCTGCATATACAGTTTTATATTGGCGTACTTTAAGCATAAACTGAAGGGGAAACTAAATCACTAAAATTATTATTAACTAGCATCCTCAAAGTCTACATCAACCATTATAGTGCGAAAAAAAACCTAAAAGGTATAGTATACCTAAAACTAACAGGTTGTTAACTAATAGGTTGTTACTATACCTAAAGGTATAGTATTTCAATAGTAACTCTCTGAAACTGTGGATGATTCAACAGTCTTATTTGAATAAGACTGGTTAAATATAGCTGGTTACAAAAAATATTGATGAAATGTCTACCTCAGAACTTATGGTCAATGACATAACACAAATCGGACTTTTTCCGTTAATTCACTACCACTATGAGTTTTTTTTAGTTTGGAATGTTGTAATTTCTAAAAATCCGGCTTAAAATTTGGCAACTTTAAGTTGGGTTGTATTGGAACCTTTACAAATTGTATTGTGCATTGTTACGTAAAAATCATATAATGGTGGTGAATTAACCAAAAAGTTCCATTTTTTTTTACTATTTATAGCTCAGTGTTGATAAGACGTTTGTGAGTTGTAGGTCTATGTGAGAGTGTCCGAAGAGAGAAGACCTAATAAGTCCATTAATCAAGTGAAGCTGCCTTCAACCGAATCGTATCAATGTGATTCCATCCGTATTACTACTTTCACACTCTAGGGAGGCTAAACTTCGAGGTTCATCTAACATAGCTTGTATCTGGCTAGTTATTTTATTTTTCATTGGCCTTTAAGCTAATAACTCTTAACGACATGAGTGTGTAATAAAAAAAAATGTATATTTATAAGTAACTGTGAGACTAATGAAATCAAAAGCACATTGGTGTTACACTGGTTTACATGTTGTTCTCAGGTACAAGATTTATACTAATGACAATTCCATTCCCATGTAAAGTTTATAGCCAGTTAACAAATAAAACTAACACTCAGTACAATTAATTTAGCCTCGTGTTGTTGTAAATACTGTATACCTTGTTAGAGGAGACATTTTTAGGCTATGGTAAACTGAAAAGGCACTAAACTGTACAAGATTTTTTCTTCCTTGCATTTCTGCTATTATGAGACACTAGAAGAAAAAAATGAATTAATAAGAATATTTGCAATGTTTTTGTTTTCTAAAAACTAGTAAAAAACTAGGTTCAGCTACACTGTAACTCGTAGATGGGGCTTTTTGAAATTCAGTTACAAATAAATATAAACAATAAACTTAATTAACAAATTTGGTTGTATCTGAAATGTACGATCGACTAATATCTTTCACATCCATCTTAAAAAAAGGTCTTCAAGATAAATAATTTCAAGGCTGTTTTCTGGGAGAAAAATACAATAAAGAGATACTGAAGAGACGATGCTATAAAACCAAGAGAAAATTATAAGTTAAGACCTCATAAAGGAAGGAAAAATGGGACTCAAGCTGCGAAGAGAAGGGTGGAAGCTTTATAATCTCCACCTAAAAATGAACGATGCTTGGATTCTGATAAAAAAATACAGACTAGGTTAGTAGGAAATTGATATTACATTCATACTTCTGTATTATGGAACTACTTGCAATAGCCTAACTATTTATTGTACAGCAAAACAGGTTTAGTTAACTTGCTTGGTAAATGTACGTAATCAATTTCCAAAATAATCGTTATAAAAAAGTTGAACATTACCTCATGAACTTATGTAATATGAACGTCAACATAGATAAAAGTAGACATATATTAATATTTTGTTGATAAATGTGGATTTGCATACATATGGCATAGACAGTAATGCTAAATAAAACTGTAGTATAAAAAGTAATTTCATTACTACTCATTTCAAAAGCCAAAGAGTAGCATAATAAACCTGTGAACTCGAAAAGGTCAAACCAATAGAAAATGTGCTTTATTTTTCATTACTATATTTTTATATTATAAATTTATATGATTTAATTTTCTAGCTTCTATAACTTTTTCCAAAATATGTTGAATAGTGTTTCTTTTTTCAGTAAAGTTACAAGGCTGTTGTAATATTCTTAGTTTTAACAAAATACAAATTCTTGTTGTTCCCAAGGCTATGAAACGTAACATTGTTTGAAGTGAAAAACATGCAACACATGCAAGTGAAAAACAAGTTTTTTTGGGTTTGGGTGCATACAGATAGAACAGCATTTTTATTTAGAGATTTCAAATTCAAAACGTCCAGTAAGGGTACAGTATGTTTAAAATTAAAATTACCACATATACAACACAATGAGATGAGAAGTACGCTTGGAGTATTCAAATTTCAGTTATAATATGTGTGTAAGTAAATAAGATTTCTTAGATTCCATGTTGATGGCCCCTGGATTACTTTATATGACTACAATATTATGGTACAATACCTCGTCAAATAATCCTCAGTTGTTAACAATCTAAATGTTACGAATACGACCATTTAATTACGGAAAGTAAACAGTTTTCCGAAATGTTTACTTTCCGTAATTAAATGTTCGTGTTCGTGTATTCATTGTGCGACGATGCCGAATTTACGGCGAAACATGTAGGTTGTTAACCTCAATCACCATTTGGATTACTTGACGAGGTATTGTACCATAATATTATAGATTTCTTAGGTCTTTATAAAATACCAAAATATTCATTTGCTTATACAAAACTGATTTATTAAACGCAAGTACTTTGTCTAAGACAACTTATTTTCCTAGTAAAAATTAAAATACATTTAGAGACGAATATTTGACGAAACAAGGAAAATATTTCACTTCCGTCTGCATTCCTAAATTATCATAACGAAATCAGAATACAGACTAAAGATAAATTTGCCATAAAAGAGATCAAGAGGTGTAAATAATTAAAGAATGGTAAGTTTTGCGAATTTCAGAAGTGCTGAGATGTTGACATTGATATTACTCGTATAATGAAGACCGGTGTAA